CCCTCTTTATTTTATTTATTCCTGTTTCATTTTAGTTGGCCATACTAAATTGGAGAGGGAGGGATAATAAACCCAATGAACACAACTTTAGTATTTATGAGCCTTTTTCAAGACCAAGCTGGGGAAGGAAGGAGTTCAACCTCATGGAACAGAGTTGAAGACTGTCTGTGGATCCAGGGTCCCTGAAGTGTAGAAGGAACAAGGGCAGTGGTTAGGAGGGAAGTCAGGCTGGACAAATGGGACCCCGGGTTCTGGCCCCAGCTTTGCCTCTCAACTACCCAACGGTCTTGAGATCACTTTTTTGGGTCTTAGTGTCCTTTCCTGTGAAATGAAGTGTCTAGAGCAGGTGATCTGGTTGGCATCAGGTCATTTCATTAAAGTAACATTGTCTACTCCATCCCTACCAAACAAGAAGCCAGCTTTTCAGACTCACTGACAATGGTAAGACAAAGCATTTGCTGCCAGTGACTGTGTTCCAGTGCACTGTCTATGGTTACTTCTGAGATGTGTTAGCTAAACCTGGGTAGGTGAGATCTCTCATCTTCACTGAGTTCCCCTCTTTGAATAAATCCAGTCCCAGCTGCTTTGGTGTGTTGCCATGACATAGATATGCTGACACATAGAGGGCAGGTGGATGAGGCATGGGTACCGAGACAGGTGGGTGTGGCTCGGGGTGCCCAGGGCCAGGTCAGATTGTCGGGGAGAAATCTGAAGACACATGTCCACAAGGGTCTGTGTCAAGGATGCATGGAAGAGTGATGTCTCGGGATCCTTGTGAGCAGGGGCTGTGTCTGTATCTTCTTGCTATGGCTAATGCTAGGGCTGGACTGTGATGAGAAGCTCTGCCCCTTGGTACTGCTGCTGGAGGACAGCCCGGGGCATCCACTCAGAAAAGTTCTGGCACTACCTCATCACATGTGTTATAAACACCCCCACTGTGCTAGAGATTCAGCTTTTGCACATAGAGCCTATAGAAATGCTCACATATATGCTGAGGTTGTCCCCAGAGGTGATCTTTGTAGGGTGGGAGCTGACACACTCCAGGAGTCCCCCACTGGGCAGGAGAGAGGAGGGCACTGGGTGAGTGCACACCAAAAAACAGCCAACTAGAAAAATATGGAGCCACACGGATGGACCTAAAAACCATGGTACTAAGGGAAAACATAAAAAGCAAAAATAGATTTATAATACAGCCCTGGCTGTGTAAATTAAACATAACATATATGCCAACAAAAGAGAAATACACAGCTTGGAAGAATGTGTACAAATGAAAGGATACACATTAGGTGCCTTAGAATGAAAAGCATAAATATATACATACATACATACATACATACATACATACATACAAAAATAAGTAAAACAAGACAAGGGCGGGTTAATGACCTGAGGAGTATGATTAACCCACACCTCTACATCAGAGATAAAAACAGGAAAAAAAAAAAACCACTAAGACTTGACAGCTGGAAATTATTTTTTGGAGCTTGTGTCTAGAGCCTGGTGACCTTAAAATTTGATGTGCTCGCTGTCACAGAACCTTAGTGCCATTTATGTCCTAGTCCTCCAATGCCACCATTCTCTCACTGGTGACAAACAGGAAAGGAGAAATGAATAAGGAAGTTTATGGAGTTCTCAGTGTGCAGACAACCTCTCTTCTGAGGTGGCTCCGCTCAGAGAAATGAAGGAGTGACTCCTCCAGGCTCATCTTATTATTTCCTGACACACCAGGTTACGGAAACTTTGAACTTCCCAATTAATAGTCATTCCTGGGAAAGACAGCAGCAACAAAATGCACCTTGATTCCCAAAACTACTGAAGACACAGCCCCACTGCTTTAGGAAGGGCTCCTCACATCATCATTGAGACTGTTACGTGAGTGGCACCCAATGGACATGACCCTCGGTACTCATGTCCTGTGTGGCTCCTTCCCATGCTGCCCTTGAGTGTGGCCTTGGGACTTCCTCTGGTCAGTGCAATGCAATCAGAGTTTTGATAAGGACTTGTGCCTTGGGGCTCAGCCTCTCGTAAAGCTCTAGTAGCCCTGAGCCGACACAGAAGAGGGCCAGGTACCCGCTGGAGACATGATGAAGAGACAGATGCCTGATCAGGTCCTCTCTTTTCCCCTGCTGGTCCAGCTGGCCCAGCAGAAGTGCCACACATGCATGTGAAAAAGCCACTTTGGACCTCCCAGCCCTACCAGCAGTCATGTTAAGTGGAAAGTCTGCCTAGTTGAGCCCAATCAACCCACAGAAATCACAAGAAGTAATGACACACTGTTGTGTTAAGCCACTAAGGTTTGGTGTGGTTTGTTACACAGCAGTGGGTAACTGAAATACTGGCACACAGTGAAACTGATAAAATTGTATCAAATTAATTTTCATGAATTTATTTCCTTTTTTTAAATTATAAAGCAAATATATTAATTATTTGCTCCTTCCAAATGCCAGGTGAAATGCACTCCAGCATTCATAGCCACAGGGCAGGTGGCTGTCACGGTGCCCCCCCCCCCCCCCCCCCCCATAACCGGAGAGCCCAAGGGACTGTATGCTCTCATCCAGCACTGGCTCATTAGCTCCTGGCATATTGCTGGAAGGTAACAGGCAAAGCTGGGGGGTTAAATGAGGAGTCCAAGGTCACACAGCTAGTAAGTGGAGGCACCAAGATTCAGATACATCCCAACTAACTCTCCGTTCGATGGTCTTTCTATTATATTGTGTCATTTAATTGCTGGTACCATTTTTTAAAAGGAACAGAAATGAGAAATCCTGGCATGAATCAGGTGCCTGGCTGCTGATTTCTTGACTCTGAGGCAAGGGGAGGGTTGAGAAGCACCTCCACCCATGCCCAAGAAACAGCATACTCACTAGAATGAAAACTAAGAGCATGTAGACTTGCCTGTCTTGATCACTGTTAACCACCTAGAACCACCCTCCGCCCCACCCATAGTAGATACTCCGTAGATATTTGTTGAAGCAATGAACAAAGGAATGGGTGTGTGGAACCCCAGATCTGTATGACCCGCACGTGTTGGGCTAGTCTGGACTTGTGCTGCCTGGTACTGCTGAATCTCTGGGGGACCACACACACCATACAGTACCTCAGCATGGTGCTGCCCATGCCTTTCCCTTTATCACCACTAGAGGGCAGGTGCATGCCTGGCTTCAGCCAGTCAGTTCTGCAGGCTCCAAAGGCACCTTTGGCTTCCCCAAAGAACAGAACACTAAATGGATCTGCCAAGATACATCTAACTCAGAGATCACTGCAGATGTACCAAGTAGACAAAGGCATATATCGCAAGTCTTGTGGCCTCACTTTAGGTGAGGGGTGAAACTCAGCCCAGCCTCCCTTCTGCTGCCTCTGCAGTGGGGATCCTCAAACTAAGGACTCTAAGTCCCCTCTGTGTTTTCATCCCAGGCATTTTCACCTTGGAGTCACCTTCCTGCACCCCACTCTCCAGAGTGAAGAAGGCAAATATTTCCAGCTGGAAAACTGCTGATAAGCCGAAGCAGGTCTGAGGAGTTGAGGAAGGAGGAAGATCTTAACGTGTGTCCATGGGCGTCTTTGGGGTAAAGGCTGATCAGGGCCAGGTTGTCCTGGGTGCTTGTTAACAGCCCTCATCTGAATTGATCCTCAAGTCACTTTGGAGAGGTGGGTATTATTATGCAGATGAAGAGACTGAGGGTCAGAGTGGTTAGTTTGCTCTAAGTCACATGGCTGGCATATGAATGAGCTGGAACTCAAACACAGGGTGATCTGGCTTCAAAGTTTCTGCTGTTCCCCCCAATAAGACCACCAATCATGAGGTGACCAGGACTTTGGAGAAGGCAGTATAGAGAAGACAGTGGAAATCCAGGGCAGATAAACACATGTAAAGAGCTTCACCAACTATCAAACATTCCTTACCTCACTTAGCCCTCACAAGTCTACAAAGGTTGCATGGCTTAATCTCCATTGCTGTGGTGAGGAAGAAGGCAGTGTGAGGTGAAGCATCTGCCCAGCACTGACCACGCATGGGCGTTCTGCCTCAGGGGCAGTCTGGGCAGAGTTGGCAGCTAGTGGATTTCATTACTTGAGGCTGAGAAATGAGGGAATGCACCTCCATCCATCTCCTGATTCCTGGCAGTGGGGACTGGGGGCTTCTGGTAGCCTCTATTTGCTCATCTATAAAGTGGGTGGCAGTGACCTGCACTCCCCTTCAGCCAGCTCTCTGTGAGGCAAACTAGTCTGTTCTGCCCGAACCTCAAGTGGAAAAGCTGAAGATGGAAAGAAATCAAGAGTGCAAGCTTACAAATTATGTGGACTCTGCTTCTCCTTTTCAAAGGTTTTATAAGGACTAACACAAGTTTCTAAAAAAAATTTTTTTTAATGTTTATTATATTTTTGAGAAAGAGCGAGAGACAGCATGAGAGGGGGAGGAGCAGAGAGAGAGACAGAGACAGAGACAGAGAATCCTAAACAGGCTCCAGGCTCCAGGCTCCGAGCCATCAGCATAGAGCCTGATGCAGGGCTTGAATTCACGAATCTCAAGGTCACAACCTGAGCCGAAGTCAGCACTCAACTGACTGAGCCATCCAGGCATCCCACTAACACAAGTTTCTATGGAACAAATCCTAGGTCTTTTTCTTTTGTCTTTTCTCCTCAACGCTTCACCCATTTTGATTCAAGGGAACAAGAGCTAACTGGGCTGGGGAGAATCCCACAACAGGCACCACAAGGGTAGGGGATAGGGGGCAGCAAAAGCTTCTGGGCATCCAAGGGACAAAGCACTGTCGGCAGGCTCCAGGTCCTAACAAGGCTTGTGTCAAGTACAAGTCCTACACTCGATAGTTCCCGCCCTTTCTCACTGCCTGTAATGCTAGCAGCCAGGCTTGTGTCCCCAGGAGACACAGTGAGGATGGGGCTCACACTGGGCCCGGCCCAGTCACAGCACTGCTGTGTCCTCCCACCCACTGAGTGACAGCACCTCTCTCCCCGAGAAGACAGCACCCCAGGTTCCTTACCTGCAGTGTCTGCTCAGAACCTGGCTCAAGCCAACATAACTGCATCTCCTTCTCCTGCTGCAATTGCAGGAAACATTTTGCAGGCGTATGCTCCTTTTCCCCAGCTGTGAGCGGGGCACAGCACTCTTCTCCTTAACTAACTGGGGCAGAGAAGGGAGAGGAGGCAGCACCTATGTGTTTGGTCGTACACCGTTAACGTCATCGGAAGGGCAGGAGCACGTGGGGAACCTACCTCCTGCCCGGATATCATTCCAGAGATAAACCGGGGCCTGCTGCTGTGCACAAATGCATTTTAAGGATGGGGAAGTGCCTAGCACATAGCAGGTGCTCTGTGAATGTTGGCTGGAGGTATGTGGCTCATTTTTTACAAAGCAGTTGTCGGAAATGCGGACCGGACTTGCTCTGGAATGTAGCAATGCTGGGATCTTCCTCCTCTTGCCTCTTCAAGGGGAGCCAGAGGTCTCTCTGCCCCTGGTAGAGGCGGAGACAGCCTCCCCTGCTGATGGGAAGAGAGGGAGAATGCACAGGCAGCCTCAGCTGCGGCCCTCTCTGCCTGTGGGAGTCCCTACACCAGGGTAGCAGCTCGCCCCACCTCTGCCCTCAGATGCCGTGGTCACTGAATGACTCTGTGTCTTCCCTCTGGGTAGCGGGGCAAGGTGACCCTTTCAAGTCTCTTTCAGTCTGTGAATTCTGTAGCCAGTTGGAGAGCACAGTAGTCTCCTAGAGGGGCTGCCAGGGAGAGGAAAGAGGAGCCTAGGGGCAGGTAAAAGCAGCTCAGCCTCCTGACCACCCCCAAGACACCCCCAGTCCTAAAACAGTGCAGAGGGCTAAGGGGCACAGGCCTAATGGCCTGAGCATCCTCACCAGAGAGGTGAAGGGTGCATGCAGGACAGAGCCTCCAGACAGAGCACATGCCAGTGGTGCCCTTGCCCTTGCGCTGGGCCTCCAGGTGGTGGAGTGCAAGCTGCTGCAGGGGTGTCGGAGCCAATACTGCCACCTGGGGACCAGGATCCAGGAAAGAGCATGTTTTCCTGGGCCACCTGAGATGCATAGAGCTAGGGGCAGCATACCAGCCCCACGCAATCCTCACCCCCCAGTCAGAGACACGAGGACCTGTGTGTAAACCAGCCAACCTCACAGTCGAACTGGCTCGGCCTCTACCACAGACGTTGTGACCATCACTCACAGACCAGGGCAACCAATTAGCCTGGCACCCAAGCAGACCTCATCTATGGGACGGGAAACTCCTGTGTGCAGATCTGCTCTAGTAACTTGCTGGCACTTGGCACGGGTGTGCAATCTGTCCACCGAGGAGCTCACCTACCACAGGCAGCCAATTTGGAAGTTTGAGACTCACTGGAATGAGATAAACACATTTTGAGGGAGGCCAAGGGAAGAATGACAGGCTATTTTAGTTATTAAAAACAAAGGAATTCTCATCCACAGGGGTTTCTTGGACTAGCCGTTCATGGTAAGCACCACCCAGGGCTCATTCTCTCTTCTCTCTCAATGTGTGGACTCATAATTCTAGAATGGGCTGGATGAGACCTCAGCTAAGTCCCTCATATCCAATACATGCCCACAGAGGGTAGGTGTCATGCCCAAGGTCACACAGCCACTCATGGTCAAGGGGATACCAGGACCCAGTCCTGTTGAATCCAGACACACCATTGTGGTTTATCTGATTTGTTACAGTTTTTTCTCTTTCTCTGTATCTCTCAGATCACAAGTCACAGACAGGTGGAAACCATATTTTCTCTGTGACCCATGCTGCAGTGATCAAGCCTACCACCAAAGCTAGGGTGAAGACCACCAGACCATCAGTCCATTGTTCCTGCATCACGTGTGTGCACAGGTAGGCAGATGTGAGATACAAGGCTGGGGGGAAGGGCACCCACTCTTCTTCCCCAGACAGAGATGTAAGCAGAGGGTTTGAGGAGATTAAAGAAAAGCATGAGCTGGGCCTCCACAGCATTTCATTAAACTCCATTTCACATCAGGCTTTAGCAGGATGAGGTCCTAGAAGTGAAGACAACTGTCTAAAGTCACAGATTTTAGTTGCTGTCCTAGGACTGGAACTCGGCTTTCCAGACACCTTCCTGTGGAAAAATCACTATAGTTTAAGTATGGTTTAGCCCAGTGTCTTTCAATGGCAAATAATAAGTAATGACCTATAGAAGGTTATGAAAGCAATTTGATGGTCTACACAACTTTTAAAATAAAATTAGACTACAATGGAAAGGAATAGAATAGAATAGAATAGAATAGAATAGAATAGAATAGAAGGCACCGGGGTGGCTTTGTCAGTTAAACTTCTAACTCTTGGTTTCAATTCAGGTCATGATCTCATGGTTTGTGGGTTTGAGACCCACATCCGTCTTTGTGCTGACAGTGCAGAGCTTGCTCAGGATTCTCTCTTTCTCCCTCTCTCTCTGCCCCTCCCCTCCCCATGTTTTCTCTCTCAAAATATAAATAAATAAATAAATAAATATGATAGAGTCAGAAGGCAGTAAGAGTAAGTGTTGTTTCCCCAAACATTTTTCTCATATCCATGCATGTGTGGATAGACACATACGTACAGATATATATGTATATGTGTATGTGTGTATTCGTGGCATCATGACAAAATATTTTTCCTGCTATGGGTTGTCATCAAAGGAAACTTGAAAGTCACTAGCTTAGCTTAGAGGTAAAGTATAAAGTACTGGTTTAAATCATGGTTCTAATACCCCTATTACTGGGCTTTTACACAATTGTTTTCATCTTTATGAACTTTGGTTTCCTCACCTGTAAATTGAGACTAGTGATAGACTTATAGGATTGAGACAATTAATTGAAATTATCCACATAAGATGTTAAGCATGGTACCTGACACGAAGTAAGGGTCAAGTATTAAATATCCCTGTGATATTTTATGCATCTACTACAAGGACTCATATTCTAAGGGTGACAAAGAGCCATAGCAGTCAAGCCAAGCAGAAAGCAAGCTATGGAGGGTAACAGAGTGACATTAAGGGAGGGCACCTGTCCAACTATGAGACCCCATACCCGAACCCCTCCATTTGCTATTCAATCATGCATGGGTAAGCATTGCCTAATTCCTGCAAGACACGTATGTATTTACAAGGCTCATCTTTACCTTTGCAGGAGGATGGGCAGTTTGGGGTCTCTTGAATAAGGATGGGGCAGAAAGAGGGGAGAGGGAGTCCTAAAGACAAATTCTGCCTCTTTCACAATTCCACAGGGGGCCAACGCCACTGTCTTCCTAACTCAGCGCCTTCCTCCTAGAGCAGGTAGAGGGACCAGAGAAATTCACCGCCTTCAGAGATCCTCAGGAGAGAGCCGAAGGGCAATGAAACAATGCAGCTGTTGCTACTCTTTGGTGTTTATTTGTTTGCTGTTCATGAATAAACTTCTCTTGACCCTCTGAGGAAGGATGGGTTTGGGTGGGAAGGACGCAGAGCCTCTTGGAATCTTTTGCTTCCAAGGAGTGAGTGGGTTTTTATATTTAGCAGATGACTCACCTTCAAGCCCATTAGTCACAGCCTCCCAGCTCCGATCTGGCAGGCTGGATGCTGGGGATCTCAGTGGGATGAGATCAGACAGGAGATTGGGAGACAGAGCAAAAGAACTCAGGGAGCTAAGAGTTGAGAAGACCAGTATGAGAGCCAGAGAGATTAAGGCCGAAGCAGAAGGCCCAGAAAGTACAGCCGACTCATGCCCAGCCAAGAGGTTCCAGGGTGGCAGGACCCTCTGGCCCAGACTTGTTGCAAACACCCAGCCACCAAGGAGGGAGAGAAGAGGGGGGCAGGGCCCAAAGCACCTGTCTTTGTGGCCATGCCTGTGGCCTGGCTTATGTGTCCAGGAGCCCTCCAAGTGGTCCCTCTGGGCCACACAGGAAGCTTGCCAGCCAGGGCCCCATCTATGGGCCGGCTATGGTAGTGAGAGATGGCTGGAACAGTGGTTTTCACAGGGTGTCACCAGACCATGCCCAGACCAGAAGCTTGAGCAGGACAGTGAAGGAGGACTCTGAGAAAGACACTCTGTCACAAGAGGGGAAGGAACAGAGGTGGCAAAAGCATCTCAAGTGTGGTCACCAGATCCCCCTTTTCCGGGGTCAGAAGGCCCTGGGACCTTGAGAACAGGCCTCCTCCACCCGACTCCCACTGAGCGGGTCCAGAGTGTCCACTTTTAACAGGCCCTGGTGCTTTGTATGTACATTAAGGCTCTAAAACTCTGGTTTGGAGCCAAGCTCAGCATCCCAGTCCCCTGATCCTGATTCACTATGGGATAAAGGCATGTTGATATTCTTCTCTGTGTCTCAGTTTACCATTCAAAACATAAGAAGCTTACTTAAATGATTGCTTTAAAATTAAAAGAAAAAAACATGCAGGAAAGGAATATAAAGTTGGTTTGTTGTTTTTCTTCTCCATGAGAAATCTGAATACTTCTTAACTAGAACTGGGTCAGGCCACGGGAGGAAAACTACACCTGGCAGCATCCCACAGCTCCAGAAATGGCAAAGATCATCTTGAAGCAAACTCCAAGGGGCTGGTGCCCTATGGCGGAGGGCAGCTGGTTCGGGACTTGAAGGCTGGGATGTGGAGCCACCACTCCTCTGTCCATCTTGGCCCACAGGCCCAGCTACTTAGGGCCCATGGTTTCCACCAAAGGAAAAAGGTGCTTCCTTCTGCAAGGTTAGAGGACTTTCTCTGCTGTTAAACCTCTGTCATGACAAGTAGGACGATGTCCCCGGGACCCTGGGTTGAAGTGAAAGCATCTGGGAGAGCAGGTGGGGAGGGAAGGGAGAGGTATGGAGCCCGCCTGCTGAGTGGGGTGTCATGTCTGCTTTTCTTTCTCCCCAGCACCCTTGAGGTGGGTGGCCTCACCCTTATGAAGGACAGGAGACTGGGCTGAGAGTGAAATGGGCTGCCACGTTCCAGTGACAACACTGACAGTCAGGACTTGTATTTGGGTCCAGACCCCATTATTTTTTTTTTTCCACTTCTCTAAATTGCTGCCTCACTTTGTCACCAAGATCCCTGGGTCACTTAACAGACCTGCCAGTTTCTTGACAATATAGTCATGGCATCCCTTTTCCCCTCATGCCATCCTCTCCCCATCCTCTTTCTTCTACCCACTGTGGCCTCAATTTTACAAAGGCTCCTCTTGGTTCTCAATATGGCAATCTCCACCCCTTGATTCTTGAGCTATTTCTTCCATTCTAGTAATATTGTCTTTTTCAAGACCACAGAAAGCTCATCTTCAAAGACCCCCAGGCCCCCCCATCCTTTTTTTACTGTCCCATTTCCCACCCTGGGCTACTACACCCATGGCACTTTGTGCATTGGCACCCATTTCTCTGGTGCTTAGTAGAGGGCTCTTTCTGACAACTAGGCTCTCAGTGGGCCAGGATTGTCTTTCCATTTTTCTGCCTTCCCTCATTTAAAGTTTCATACCTAGAAACATAGACCTTGTTGACAGGTAGAATAGCCATGAAAAGGAGCTTTGGGGAAGTGCCTTAGCATAGGCCTGCATGTCCCACCTTGAAATGCAGGCCATCTCTGTCCCTGGCCTGCCTCCTTCCCTGAAAATTTTTTCTGCCTTCTGCTCTCCATGGAGGTGCCTCAGTTGAGCAGCCTGCTGGGCCAGACAGAGCCCTGGGATGGCAGCCACAGGAAGAGGTTCCAGTAGGAACAGAAAAGGACAGTCCTGTCCTCAGCAAGTATGCACAGTACCTTCTCTCTCTCTCTCTCTTCTCACCAACCAGACTAGAAACTCCTTGAGGACAGGGCTATAGCTTCCTTTGTATGATATGTCTGACCAGCTTCAATGAGATAAGTAAATAACCATGAGGCAAATGGGACAGGTGATGGGAGGGGTGCTACAGGAGTCCTCTGGGAGCCTGTCTCACATTGCTGATCTCTGGCCTCTATAATTCTGTCTAAAAAATGGTGAAAATAGCATCTCTGACACACAACCAGTTGGGAGGGTTAAACAAGACAGTGACTAGGAAAGTATTTAACAATGTGTTGTCTCATAAAATGGCACTTCATGAACTAAGTTAATTATGCTAGTGTAAGCAAGCATGTGAAAAGAAATGAAATTTGGGTAAGGGGCGCACTAAAAGTAACAACTGCCTACTGTATGCTGGTCACCATACTAGATGCTTTGCCCATGGCATCCTCTAATGTTCCTAGGGACTCTACTTTGCAGATGAAGAAATTTAGGATCAGAGAGGCCAATTTGCTTACCCAAAGCCACACATCTAGCAAGTGGCTAAGTCCTGCTTTGAATGGACACTTATCTATCCCCAAAGTTGGAGCTCATTCCTTTATACCACAATGCTTCAAATACTTGAAAATTTTGGGGAAGAATTTTTTTTCAAGTAGAGATTTGAGAAGATGGTGGGAGGTCAAGGAAGGGAAGAAGAAAGAGAGCTTCAAGACAGCCTTGGGGCATCCCTTTAAGAATGGGTGGCTTAACTCCAGAGAGGAGGCTGAGCAGAGCCAAATTGTCACAAGAAAAACAGAGGCTACATCAATGCTGAGTGTATCTAGCAGGCAATCAGGCAAAGACTCTATTAGCAGTAAGAACTGGTTATGTCCAGGAAGGCTCTCTGGTGTCATATTCCCTGACTGGGACATTGGGCAGCGTAGAGGGTCCTGGGGGAAGCAGGAGGTAGTGGTGGTCTAGCTTCGACTGCACATGCAT